GCAAGTTGGGCATTTCCTCACCAACTCCAGCGCATCCTTCTTCAAAGTGGGCCAATAGAACCCCTGGAGTATCACCTTTCTTGCTAGAGTAAGGGCACCTTGATGGGCAGAACAGACTCCTTGGTGTACTTCTTCCAATATTCTTCTTGCTTCTCCCTCACTCAAGCATTTGAGCATCGGTCCTCCCAAGGTCCTCTTATACAATTTTACTCCCTCCAATTGATATTTGGGAGCCATTAATTGAACTCTGCGGGCCTCCTTGGGGTCAATAGGGAGCTCTCCCTTTTCAAGGTATGTAATCAGGAGGCTCATCCAAGTTGTACCTGGACCGGATATCTCAAGGACAGGGACCGCCTCTTCCCAAACAGGACAGATCCTTTCGTGCTGCCTTACCATACCCTCCATGTGGACGGGAATGGTCCTGCATAATTTGGCAAACATATCCGCCTCTTCATTCTCCTCTCTTGGAACATATATGAGTTCATAGGACTCAAATTGTCCAAGTAGAGTCCTGGCGCAGTCCCTGTATCTTTTCAACCTTCCTTCCTTGGCCTCCATCTCTCCTTTTAGCTGCCCGATGGCAAATTTTTAATCGGATTTAAGGCGGATGTGCTTTATCTTCATGAATAGGGCAATCTGGATACCTCCAATGAGGGCCTCATATTCTGCTTCATTGTTGGTGGCCCGAAATGTGAACTTAAAGGAATGATAAGCCTTGAAGCCTTCAGGGGAGGTGAGGACCGCTCCTCCTCCTGAACCGTCTTTAGTGCAGGATCCATCTGAATGAATCTCCCATAATTCCTTTTTTCTCTCCTGATCGGTCCCATCCTCTTCTGGTTTCCCTCTTGCCGTGCACTCCACCATAAAATCGGCAATGACCTGGCCCTTCTTGCTAGAACAGGGCTGGTAAGAAATATCATATTGAGAGAGGACCATGGCCCACTTAATGACCCTTCCTGAAGAGGACGGGTCCCTCAAAACTGCTCCCAAAGGCTGGTCCGTCATGATTCTCACTGGGTGAGCTTGGAAATAGGGAGTTAACCTTTTGACAGTTACCACCACTGCCAAAACACATTTTTCCAAGGGAATGTACCTTGTTTCCGGTCCTCTTAAGGCCCTGCTTGTGTAATAAACTGGCTTTTGGACTCCTTCTTCTTCCCTCAAGAGGACCGAACTCACTGCCAGGTGGGCCACCCCCAAGTACAAGAAAAGGACGTCCCTTGCTAGTGGCTTGGAGAGGACCGGTGGAGAGCTCAAATATGCCTTCAAGTGTTCAAAGGCCTCTTGGCACTCTGCGGTCCACTGGAAGTTTCCCCCTCCCTTTAAAATTGTGAAAAAGGGCAGGGACCGCTCCGCGGACCGCGCCAAAAACCTTCTTAAGGCCGCTATCCTCCCTGCTAATCTCTAGACTTCCCTCAAATTTGTTGGTGGTTCCATGTCTTGGATGGCCTTCAACTTGTCCGGATTGACCTCAATCCTTTTCTTGCTCACCATGTAACCAAGGAATTTTCCTCCCTGGACCCCAAAGGCACATTTTTTGGGGTTCAATCTCAAATTATGCTTCCTCATGATGCTAAAGCATTTCTCCAAGTGCTGAGGATGGTCCGCTGCTTGCTTACTTTTGATCAGTAGGTCATCCACATAAGCCTCCATGATCTGTCCCAGGACCTCCTTGAATAATAAAGAGATCATCCTTGTAAATGTGGCCCCCGCATTACGCAGCCCAAAAGGCATGACCACGTAACAATATACTCCTTCAGGGGTGATAAAGGCTGTGGATTCCGCATC